TTCATTGTTGAACGCAAATAATTTTTTATCAATTTTAATCTGGAGAAAGATCTTTCTCCTTCTGCATTTGATCCAAGAATCGACAAATATATACTTAATGCAATGTGAACGTTAGGAAAAGTATTCACAAGTTTATCTTTAACATTGTTATCGATCGAACTAATCATAATGGTATTATCGATATCAACTGCAATATCGGTAGTATGTCGGTATTGCAGATAAAGTTCGACAAACAAATTTGTAAATTAAAATCCATATTAATAAAAATGTAAAAAAAAAATATGCAAGAAAATTTTAGCATATATTTTGAAAAGAGGGGAGGAGTGGGGGAAGGAGGGGATGGCCCAATAACGGCTATGCCTAGGGCCCACGAAAGGTATAATCCGGCTCTGTGCCTAGGGCCTACGAAAGGTATAATCCAGCTCTGGATGTGGGGCCAAACACAATCTCATTCTGCTTTATTTTGCTTATTATTATTTGTGTGTGTGTTTTTTAAGCAATTTATTTTAGCCAAATTATAGGCATTGTGACTGAAAAGCAATTTTCCTGTGCCTTATTTTCCATCTTTTTTGTTTAGCTCGAAACATGGGAACAACATGGGGGTGGACGTCTTCTAACGAAAGTAGTAAAGGCAGCCATAGTCTAAGGTAGGAGTTTTTGTTTACCGAAACTTTCTTGATAGGCTTTGTTAGACTGTGTTTATATTTTTTTATTTTATTATCGTGAGAACTAACTATCGAAAGCTTTATTTTAACCTTGAGTTTGATGTAGCCATAACTTCATTTATTTGCTTTTTATTTAAACAGCATCTTATTTCCCTTATTAGACATTTATCCCCTTTTCGTTCTTTTTTTTTTTAAGATAACTGTTTTACATTACAGTTAATTTTTTTTAATAAAGAAAACATGGTAATATTATAATAGTAGTTGGAAAGAAATTTTTCTGATGATTTTTTTAAGAGTTTGTATATTTTTCAACAAACCAGTATCAGTAACCCATTTTTGCATGTTCTTAAGATTCAAATGGATAGATAAAGCATAATTGAAAAATCTTGAAACCCCAATTTTCTAATTTTAGGTTCTATATTGTTCATAAAATCTATTAATGCAAAAAAAAAAATATTAATTTGATTAATCATAAATTTTTTAGTTTAGAAAATTCTTGTGTACTATGTGTAAAAAAAAATCATNTTGAAAAATCTTGAAACCCCAATTTTCTAATTTTAGGACCTATATTGTTCATAAAATTTATTAATGCAAAAAAAAAAATTAATTTGATTAATCATAAATTTTTTAGTTTAGAAAATTCTTGTGTACTTTTGTGGGGAAATAAATATTACATTAAAACAGTAGTTAGGTTTCAGCATAACTTTTGAATTAAATATTAAAGAGCTATATGATCATGTTATTAATTAAACATTAAAAGCTGTTTGATGAAGATTATGTGATCAGTGAATTCTAAACAGCAATTGTTTTTTAATAAAATGATAAAAACAATAAGTAATTAAAGTTTCTAAAATAGCAAATTTAAATCATGTTATTTTTTACTGTCCATGCTTGACAAGCTCTAAGCTCGTACTTTATTAAAATCTTGATTGATTATTTTTTTTGTAAAGTAACTCTACAGTATTGGAACTTCAGAAAATCACAATTTCAGTAAGATTAAAAGTTTTTAATACTTTGTCCAATTAGTGGATGGCTCAACTTAAAATTTTAATTAAATTTTATCTTTATTTGATAAAAAAGTGAAATAAAAATTGCAAAGTGATGAAGATCTATCGTAGACTATCCTAAACCTAGATGTAAAACTTGAATAGTGAACAATCCTTAAATTCAAGCTTATTATGGTACTCATCTATAAATATGAATAGAACAGTGTGCTAATTTACTTACTCTTCTCAATTTCAAAATTGTAATGATTGGAAAAGGTTATTTTTAATGAAGAATTTTTTGATGATATTTTTCCTAAACACTGTGGAGCATTCCTTTGCAAATATTTTTGAATTGCTCTTTTGGAGATGGTTATTATGGGTGGTGAGAGCAAATTGTGTTTTATGAAAGATGCATTGTTCTGTCTTTTTATAAAGAATGTTAAATTGATTTCTGTCATTTTTAAGATAGTGAAAAAGTGCTCTTTGTTTAAGAGAGAAACCAGATGTCATTTTAGAGATATCTCTAAAGCTGCATCAGCTGCACTTTGGATACAAGATCTACTCTCAAAGAAACACACACATCCAATGGACAATAAAAAATTTTCGCACAAATAATTGGAGGTAGGTAACAGAACTTTGAAAGATTTATCAAGCACTTTTTTTTGTCATGTTATAGTTTAATTTTTCAATAAAAAAAAGAGAAATGAAACACAGATTAAATGTCATAAACATAAAACAAACATTGGAAAATCAAGTTCATAAAATTTTATTTTAAAGCTCAAAAGGAAAGTAAGATGTATAAGAAATAAAGCAAAATTTTGAAAGAACAAAAAAACGGGGTGAGATAAAAATGAATTAGTACATGAGATGTTAGTTTTTGTATTGATATCAGCAGAAAATTGCAACACAGTGTCATTCAGAAAAGAAGCCTTAAGTAGTCTAAGCAAATATTCGTACGTTGCATTAAATTATTCAATACTCTTTCTAAAATCTCTCTGCAGATTCCTAAGCAAGGCTTTTTTTCACTGTATAAAAAACATGGTAGCATTTCTTCAGGTGACCAAACAATTGATTATTGCATGGAACTATATCAGATCTATACAGAGAATGCTAAGAACTTCTCAGTTGATTTGAAACAGCAGAGTTCCGGGGAATGTAAATGCTTGGGGCAAAAATTCTCCATCGACAATACTCCTGAAAGAGGTAAGAAATGTATTTTCTGGAGAGGACAAAAAGTTTAAAAGCAAGTATCATATTGGAACATACATATATTAGGGGGACCGGAAAGCAATGTCGTTTCGGTGCATTTGATATTGGGTATCAAGATTTAATCAGTAATGTATTCATTCTTGTTAGCAACAACTTTTCAATGCCAAATCAAAAATAAATCTAAAAAAATGAATTGGTTTTTGAGACTAACGAATATCTAATGCACCGAAATAACATTACTTCCCGGTCCCCCTAAAACAAAAAATTCAAATCGATACATTGAATTCAATTTTATGTAAATGTAAATTGAAGTTATTGTTTTGTAACAAATGTATTATTTCATATAAAATAATTCTTAAATGTAAAATATTGAAATTTTAATCATCTTCAAATTCATTATTAAAGTTTTTCAAAAATTATATTTTGTTCTTCAAAAATTTTTTAATGTAAGCCAAGTATTCAAATTCAATTTCCTAATAAAAATATATGCTAGTGATCTACTACTAGCTATTTACAAAGTTTTGGTGTAATACTAAATCATTGGTTGAACATGCACACCACTGATTTGAAACCATGTAGGTGTTTACAAATTTTTTGATCTTTAGGTTGAATCCAACTGCTCAACAGCCTTTTTTGAATTAATGGTTTAGTCAATGTGAGACATAGACTTGGTAGCAACATGTAAACAGGTGACATTTATAACAGATCTTATTTTTGACTATGTACAAAAGAATTTTTTAAAAAAAATGGCTCCGTATAGCTAAATATGATTTGCAGGTTCATGAAAGATTCCAGAAAACTAACCTTCATTTGAAAGCCTTTTAACACAAGAAATACGAATCTTGGAAATTCAGTGCTATTGAAAAATTAAAAAAGTTTCTTCATTCAAATATATTGAGAAGACTTCATAGTTAACCAGATACCATAAAAGGAAGAAGTGGGTACTACTTTTCTAAAATAATATTTGTAAATAACACAATGATTTATTTATAATATTTTTATAATCCCAACAGCAAGGTACGAAAATCAAATAAACTTTCCCTTTTATTTTGAAGAACTATCAGTCGAAGCTACCTTTTTAAAGAATGATGGAGATGATTCTCTCAATTTCATCATAAACATCATTCTACAGGTATTCTTATTAAATTTTACTAGCTTTACAACTCGTTTAAATACATTCATTAAATGTACAGTTTGAAACATTATGCACCTTATATGACCTAAAGAGATGATGCTCTTATGATTTGAGAAGACTATCAAGTTAACTAGTATATTAAATGTTTTATTTTTTTCCCTTTGCAACAAAAGTTTGTACATAAAACGTTTTGAAAATGAACTGCTAATCTTGCTTTTGTAAACACACCCATTTTAACAAAAAAATTTTTTTTGAGGGTTATCTCTTAAAAGTTCAAAACTGATGACACAATTCAGAACATTCCCTTATAGATAATTTCATTAACACAGAATAGAAATCGGATGAACTGTGTTTGAGATCTTGAGACAAGTAAAGTAACCTTTTACAAAATCAAGTAGTTTGCCTCAGTCTTGAACACACTTTTATCAGTATCAAAACAAATTGCTCAACTTAAAGATGACGAAGAATTCAAATATATATTTTGATAATTAGATTTCACATAGTTATTTTCATTCTTTTTTTTAAATCTCGGATATTTAATCTATTAGAAGTAATAAATAGACATTTAATTTTACACTAAAAATTCAGTGGAACTATTCATGATTTTTGATTGATTGTTGTTAAACAATCGTGAAAATATAACATTTTCTTACTTTTTCCTATAAAGCATCATTGCAACAATATGACACAATAATATTTATACTTTTGAATTATTTAGATATATAATGATATTTAGAAATCAAGATGGTTTCTTAATGCAGTAAGAAGAATAAACAGTGATAAAAACTGAAATTAATTTCACAATTTTACAATATAAAATTTTTTGAAAGCAAGTCAGAGTGCAATATTTTGTTAAATCATCTAATAATAACTGTACATTTAATTTTGGTCATTAGAAAACACTGTAAATATTCTATACCTTTCTTTAATTGCACATTTTTCCTCTCTCATGGCTGTTTCTACTTCTGATCTCCTTGTTCTCTTTGAACCTGGAATTCACTACATATACTGTGAATCAACAGAATTTTTGAAGAACATTGAAAGGGTATTTTAACTATTTTTTTCTAAATCTGTAAAAGGAGAACATTATGGTGAAGTATTTGGGAATAATATTATGAAAAATGCTTATTATTTTAACTATATCTAAATTATATTTCCATTTTGTCATTTTGCAAAAATGCTCCAACTGACTGAATTTCAAGTTTTGAGAAACAATTAATGCAAATAATAATGCAACTTATAAATTGGTTAAATATAACATTTATTGCATTCATTAAGTTAATACGTTACTACATAAAGACAGCAATTGCAAAGAAATTAGTAAAAATAATTTACAGATTGACACAAAATTTTTAGTACAGATTTAAGAACATATTTATGCAAATTTTTTATAAATCTTAAAAATAAATTAAATACTAGAAAGAAGAAAAAAACGTTTTTCTGAAAATTGAAGTTATTACATATTATGTTTGTAAGGAGTGGATGCATTTTGAAGAGTTTCGTGACAAGTAAGAAAGATAGTATCTGAAATTAACAGCTGCATCCAATTACTGTCCACTTGTGACCAAGTACTTAAGAATGAGAGCTTATTGGTCAAGATTCCTTTGTGTGCAGTAAGTTTCTCATTTGAAATATTTCATTAAATTAAATTTTCATGTTCAATCAAGCATTTTAAATTTTTTCTAACGTTTGAATGTTTGCTGTCATTGAACATTTGCTCTAATGTCATTCCATCACACATAAATTTTTTTTCAATAAGGTATTTAGTACCTACTTGAAGGCATTTTTTCTTAAATATGATATTTCATTTTTAAAAAAATCGAAGAAAGGTTCAAAGTACATGAACACTGTTTTAAATTTTTTCAAAGAAATCAAGTGCAAATTTCAGAAGTTATTGATACTAACATTAAGTATTGTAGGGGAAGGTCTTCTGTTTTTAAATGAGAGACATGCCTATTTTGAAAATAAATTTCGTTATTAACTGACTAATTAATTATATAGAAAAACTACTTCTTTCTTTCTTTGGTGATAGTGTTCTCTTCCTTAGCCAAAGGATCCAAAATCAGGGTTTAATAAAAAAAATGTTACCATTTAAAATTATGTATTTCATAATAAATATTATTTAATTTATTCCACTAATCAAGTTTGAAGTAAAATTAGGAAAATAATCAAGGATTGGGAAAATACAGCAACATGAACTATTAAGATTAAAAAAAGCAAAATATTAATTGCAGTCATAATTATCATACTTTATTTCAATAAAATTGATAAATAACAACAATATTAACAATAAGGTTGTTGACAAAAAGCTTAACTAATTGAAAAATCTGGACACAACAAAACAAATTAGAGCTTCAACGGACAGTGCACCCAAACAAATAGAGCTTGTATATCCCTATTGTAACTCATATTCCAATAAACACCAACAACAATTACAAAAACTAGGCTGTTCAGAAGTTTTGTGTCAACTTTTGATAAGTGAAGCATAGACAGGTCTAATGTCAAAATAATTAAGAGCAATTGACATAGCCTTTTAGAAGGAAATTCAGAACGTAACAATGAAGAAGAAAATAGAACTTTCTAAAAGGGTTAATTCAATATCCATAGCTCTGAATGCATTAAGTTTAGTTTGAGATTATTTAAATTTTGATAAGTCATTAAGAGTAAGTTTGTATGATATAAACACAACTTACATTTTTATCTTTAACCATCATCAGAAAAAACCTTTGACGAGGTACAAAAGCGGTAACTGGACGGACAGTATTGCCAGCTGCAGTAGCCACAGGAGATGTTGGCAGGGGACAGACCGATAATCCTGATGAGGCAGACTTATTGGCAAAAGTAGGCGAGCTAGGAACAGATTATATGTTGAGATCAATGCTACTTCTTGAGTTTCATTCTTCTGATGTATTTTAACACCTGAAAACATTTAAAATAAATAAAAATTATCTGTAACAAATTTATTTTATAAATCACTTTATGTAAAAATGTAAGTAACATATGATCCTTTTATGTTAAGTAATAGAATGTTTTTAATGTTAAATAATTTATCTCTTCATAAAAGAACTATGCTGCTAGANCATTATTTATCTAATTAAATGTAAAAATTTAAGTAACATATGATCCTTTTATGTTAAGTAATAGAATGTTTTTAATGTTAAATAATTTGTCTCTTCATGAAAGAACTATGCTGCTAGAATTTTTTGATGAATAGATGATTTCTTAATCAAAAATCTATTGTTTTATGCTCTTTTTGAGTTGTTTGAATAAAATCCAATAGATTATTACAAAGTTTTAATGATTGAATGACATTAGTTCAGATTTTAAATTTATTAACAAGATGTGAGAAGCTTTTGAAACAATATAGTTTTGCTCATAATATCAATACTGTAAAATTATCCATGACAAATTCTTTAAATTTTCGTTAACGAGCAGAAGCACAAAGAATAGAAGAATAACAAGGTTAAAATAATGAAAGCCATGGTATGACAAAAAATTTCAATTTTTGCAAGGACATGGAAACTGGATGAAATGAACATAGAAGAATTCAGGTTATGAAAGCAAAGAGTAAAAAAAAAAATTAATAAATTTTTTTTTTTAATATTGATTTAAGGAAAAGGAAAATATGGAAAAAGGAAATATGTCTAAGAAAAACGCTTTTCTTAGACATATTAGAACATTCGTGAGACTAAGGTTAAAAATGTAAGATAAAATGGATAATAATTTAATTTTCATTAGAAAGTCTTACTGTCATTTCCAGTTTCTTCTAAATTAGAAAAATCAGTGTGCCCCATGTAAGCTTTCCACTGCTTTTCATTTCTTCTAATAACAATAAAATATCTTTTTATTCCAGGTTCAATTTCCTCACACACATATGAAGTGATAGTCTGTGATGAAAATAAAAGTTGATATACACTGTATACATATGCGCACAATTATTTATATCATTTTGTGTTTTATAATAGCTTAGCACAAGATTTTTTTTTACATTCTACAGTAAGACACAATTATTATTATTTAAATGGTGACATCTAGAATCCAGCCAGCAGAGAACTTTCAGTAAATTTCATTAAAAAATGGAATTTCTGAAAATTACTAATTTTCCATCAGTAGACTATTTTCTTTTTGTTCCAGATTATAAAAGTTAGTTGAAAATTTAAATCTTTGTTAATGCAACACACACATTATTTTTCTCACCGATAGTATATCATTTCTACTTTCCACTCTCCCCTTCCTTTTCTAACGTACATTTTCAATAAATAAAATTGAAGCTCACATAAAATTTCAAATTTTGCATGATATCCTTGTTTTATTTTAATTTATATCTAGATTTGTTTTTTAGAACTTTTTTGGTTGAAACATTCTGTGAATCAAGCTCAATAATTTTGAATTAAAGCAAGTTTAAAGATATTTAAATATAAGCAGCAATGTTCTAAATGTAAGTTTAAATATGAAAAAGGATAAGTTTTCTATTAAGTGCAATAAAGAAACCCTAAAAATGCATAAAACTTTTTTTCATAAGAAAAAATGAATGATTTAGCAAAAATATGAGCTTGAAGAAAATGTTGAAATAAAATTTTCAGAATAAAAAGCACATAATTAAAAATTAGGAGGAAAAACAAACAGAATACAGGAAAAAAAACAGATTTACAGAATATTGAGAACAGAATAAAAAAAGAACAGAATAAACATAGAATAAAACAAAACAGACACAGAATTCTCAAACAATTTACGGAATAAAAAAAAGGAAGAAAATGTATTAAATCTATATTCCATATTATTTTGTGCCCATTTAATGTTTCTATATATATTCGTTACCATTAATCACCAATGCTTCCTAATAAAATGGGATGAAAAACAAAACAAAAACAATCAGAAAAATGAATATTACAGGGTCTGGTATTGATTAACAGTTGCAATTAAATTTACAACTTAGTGGAATAATCTGTTTCCTTAGTGACTGCCATACATCATTTCAACTGTTTCGAGCGCAACTCATAATCATAATAGAGTAATTAACAGTTATTCCAGATTTATAAATTTAAGTGCTTCTTTTATAAGAAAAATATTAGTAACTTCACACATTTAATTATAAAATGTTTAAGTCTGAGAATTTAAGATAATTATCGTGCATATAAAAATTTAAATGTTTAGCAGATAAAAACACTAAATATCCTAATTTTAATGAGTCAAACTTTTTCTTTTCAAAAAAATTAAAACTTTTTTTAATTATTAATAAACTTTAAATATATCAACTATAGATATTAGATATTAACAAATGTTACAAATGAAAATGATAAAAAAATTCATGGTATCAAAATAAAGCTCACTTCAAACATTTGCGTTAAACATGGAAAAAATTATATAATGAAAAAAAATTATTAGAAATAGGTAACTGAAATATTATTGTAAATTATTAAGTAGTTTAGTATACATAATTTTAAACATAATGATAATATTTATTGACTGAAAAAAAGTATTAGAACATATTATTTCTCATAATATAATTTCACCTCTTTAAGACAAAAATATAGAAATTCTACAGAATTTAAACCATCTGTATTTTGAATGTAAATACGAGGAAATGTATCTCTTAGCAGCAGTTTTATTTAATTTGTAATTTCTTTTAAAATAAGAATCACAGCATGTTTTAAGGGAAGCTCATATTCAAATTTTAACAAAGAAGGAGTACCTATTAAAAAAATATAATAATAAAATATACTTTAGTAACATAATAAACATTTTAATATAATAAGAAAACAACTCCCAAGAATTTTTTCTTTAAATTAGGCAATTAAAAACTTGAAGTTTCTTTTCAAGTGATTTCTAACAATGCTCTTAAAAGTTTCATATTAAAACACAGCATTATTTATCTAATTAATCTTTTGAAGTAGACTGAAACATAGTTGCTTCATTTCTATAATAAGTGTGATAGTTCCATCAATGATCAAACTGATACAACCTTTTCTTGGAATTAGATACTTTAGATAAATTATTAATACTTCTAAATTCTTAGACTTACTTTAGATAAATTTTTAAAATTGAACAAGAGATGTCTTTAAAAAAATACTATATTTTAAATGGCTTATTGATTTATAAAACTAATTAAGTGAACAACAAGTTAGGTTTATTGAAATGAAAGATATAAATGTAATGTAATATAATAATAATGTATGTTGAAATTAGGATAGATATTGTATATAACCTAAACCACTAAGCGACAATGTCTTGTTTAGAGGTTGAGTTGTCATTATAAAAAACTAAGGTTTAATCCATGATGGTCACTTGAAGCTTCAGATCGATAGGAACCATGATTGTATTACATTATGTAGAATAAATTTATTGAACTTTCAATGTATTTTAAAATTAACTTAATTACAGGGTATCTGCTACATTTCAAATGTTCAAATTCATGACTTTTCATGACTAATTCCAAGAATTTTTTATGACTTAATGAAGTTACTATTTTCTCTGACAAAAACACATTAAATTTAAAAAAGCATCATAATAACATTAATTCAAATAATAGGTATAACCAAAACTGTTATACTCTGCATCTTCATATTTACAGATTTTAAATTTAAAAAACAGAGTAAAGAAAGAGTTAAAGCAATAAAATAGCTGAAAAAATACAAAAGCAAATACATTTTTTTCCCCTTTTTTCTGCAGAATTATATTCTAAAGAAACTTTTCTTGTACATCGGAAAGGAAAGAAATACTCCTGATTTTTCTGTTCTCATTTCGGATTTTAAAAAAAAATCACCAATGACTGGCTTGTTTCAACTAGAATTCTAAATTGAGAATAAATAATAACAAAAATTTTGAAATCACAAAAGTTTAAAAAATCACTCTAAAAATGATGCTTTTTCTTTCACCATAATTTTTAAAGAACATGATAAAAACATTTTATATTTTAATAAAATATGACTGTCAGTGGGAATTTCTATGGAAATTCAGATATTTGGAACAACATGAAATGGGGGGGGGGAGATTCCATTTTAAAAATTAGATTTTTCGGCGACCTAGGTCCATGACTTTCCATGATTTTTTTTTAAAAAACTAGTTACAATCATGACAAATTTTGTTCAATACCGAAATTCATGACTTTACAGGTGCGCGGATACCCTGCCCCTAGTATCTGATGGACACTTTACGACTAGTCCAAATTCTAAGCATTTTATTAAGATATTCAACCGATGGGTAGGACTCGAGAAAAAAAAAATTACGTTTCTGTAAAAATTGGAAATAATCCTCTAAGACGCATTTCACGGCCAGTTCACGAAAGTTTAAGCTATGTGCTTGACATGGTAAAAAAATGCGACGGAACATTTCTCTTTTAATCTTGCTTGTTAACCTGAGTACTTGCCTGCCATATTTGGTGCATAATTTCATGTTTGTCCTCGACAATCACTTATATTTATGCCTTGATCATTAGGAAAAGATACAATAGTTTCAGACAAGTACTCAGGTTTATGCCTTTCAATTGAAAAAAAAAATCTAAAAGGTCTATGCGAATTCCGTCGTTCACATATAGGACATCAAATGTGTTGAATCAATACTTACAGAAAAATATTTTGCTTTCCTTAGTTCTGTAATTATTTTGTTTTATGCTTTATATCAATCGATTCAGTCTTGGTAAATAACAAATCGAAGTTGATAAATAAGATGTATGTGCATTGCCCTTATTCCCATGATTGTTTATAAGTCCAACATGAAAAGGGCCAAGTTTACTCATCCCAAATAATTTCCATTATCCAATTGTCTCCACGGAATGCAAGACATCGTGATGCTAAAAGCTTTATTACTTCAAAAATTCTTCTAAATACTTCTCAATCATTGATTTGGTTACTCATCTGATTAGTTAAAACTATATCAATTAAGCAATCATTTTCTTGAGAAGTAAATCATTGTAGCGTGCTTGTGCACAAACATATTTTCATGTTCTAAAATGCACACATTATAATGTTACCAATCTTTTAAGCCACTTTATAATGTTTTTCAGAATTAAATGCATTGCTAATAATTGAGGAAAGGACGTATCAGACAGATTACAAAACTTTAAGAGTGGCAAACTTTTGAGCCATAAAACATACACAGGTGTAAAAGTATTAGTGTTTTACAACATTCAGAAAGATCACTAATTTGATAATTGTTATTTTTATATATAATTTATAACAAATGTATGAAAATTTATACTAAAAACGCTTTTAAGCTTTTGCCTGACATAATAACTTTTGCCAAACTAAAAAAGAAAGAAAGAAAGAAAATTTAAAAAAAAAAGAACATTAAAAAATTGATACTAATTTAAGGAAAAAAATTAAGGATTGTCACCCTCATGGCCAAACTAAGTGTTAATGCTGTTCTAATTTGGAATACAGAACACGAACTAAGCAACATAAAACTTGAAGGAGCACAGTAACAAAATTCACGGAATAAAACATTGTTCAATCATTGTTCACTGGCATTCAAGACTCCCCTTTCCCAAAATTATATAATGCAAGCAGTTCTTTCTGTTCTTATCACCTTTTCTGTTCTGGTAATGTGTCATGACTGATGTGAGGTATGGCTGAACCAATTTTTTCTTTTAACATTTTATTTCAAACGCTTTCATTTGCTAACCTTTCTTTCAAGAAATTACGATAAAAAAAAAGTAACTTTTTTTTATTGACTTTTCGGGCCCCCATCAGAACTTGGAACTCACGCCCATTGGGCCCATCCTTAAAAACGGCTCTGAATGTAGTCAAAATGCAAATTAATATCCTAATTTAAAATAACTTCTAATATAACTAGAGAACAAAAATGAGATAATAAGCCAAAAGAAGTATCATTAAATATGTATGTAAATCATAGTCTTGAGAGAAAAATGCATGAAATTAGATACATGAAAAAATAATAACCAGTAAGCTTGAAAAATACAGTACCTGGAAGAGGTGTTCCAGTAGTTGGCAAATTAAAAGGTTGCAAAAATTTTAATTTTCAGATGATAACAAAGTACCAATACAAATGCTTTGATTCACAACCAGCTGAAATATATAATGTAAACCTCAATTAAAATTATACTTGAAATAATTAGATATAATTTAAATGAATTATTAAAATATAGCAATTTTTATCTATCACAAGCTTTTAAACACAGTATAATTAAAAGAATACTATACAAATACTAGGACCCATTTAATGTAATTAAAATAAAGTAAAAAAAAAATATTAAAGTGTAAAGGATGAGATATTAAACAAGACTACTGCAAAAATAGCCAGCAAAGCTATCTTTCAGATAGCTTTGCTACACAAACTATGATGAACTACACTAACAGTTACGAGGTTAGCAAGCAGTAGTCAGTTTTAAAATTGTGATTTGTAAGAGCCTCCTTATTAATCATAAAATTTTTCTCTAACCTCTTAAAGATGATCTAGGATAATCTGAGAGTTTTAAGCAGGTAATTAGTTTTTTTTCTAGATTTCATTTACTTATATTTTTTATTTTATTAAATTAAAAATAAAAACATATTGCAACAATGCTATTTTTTAACAGTTGACTCAGAAATAATTAAAAACGAGTGTTTTAAAAACATTTTTTGCTACATTGCATACACACAACTCAAAACATGAAAATGAAAAATATGGCAAAAAAAGATACGAAGTAGAGCAAAATGTTGAAAATTAGTTCGGTCATTCAGAAGTTATTAAGCAAAGCCACAAGAAGCAAAAATTTTCTTAAAAAGAAATAATCAATATAAAGCTAAAATTTTGAAATAAATAGTAAAAAATCTATAATTTGTATAATAGTAAGACAATACCTAATCCAATTCTGTTCTATTATGTTTCCTCTCCAGCGGTGCATCAGTTGGTAAAGTTTTCCACAATCTAGCTGGTGTATCATGCTTTTGTTGCACTTGTGGAAATCGGGAAAAAATGTAATCAATGAGGAAGAATTTAACACCCATACAAAATCCTGAAAATTAAAGTATAGTGAGCATAAAAACATAAAAATGAACTTACAATGCACAGATTAACTTTTTAAAGCTTGGATGATACTTTCTTGTAGCCAGATAACAAACAAATCACAGCTTTAAAAAAAGTTATTACCACTGATATCTATTTAAACTTGGTACAAAAAAATAATTATAATTTAAAGTTACATTAGTCATATCTTTCCTAATAGGTTTTTCATCTATTTATATACATTGTTTCATCTATATATTGTTTCACCCATTCATGTTTTATTTATATAAAGGTTCATCTGTATCCAAGCCATTTTTTTTCCTAATTTTCTAACAGATTTCAGACTTTCCAAATAAATATGGACATTCCTTAAAATTTAAAAATAGGTTCAGACAAGTGTTTAAATAATGGGTATGAAGCTGGAAAATACATTTCTTATGTTAATTTGCAAAAAAATTAAACCACAACTGAATTTTAAGAAATTGTAATAGTAACTGGGCAGCCACTATTTTAAAGGAAAATGCTTTCGAACAATAATAATGAAGAAGTACTTTTTACAGCAGAAAATAAAATTAACAGTTTCCAGTCCTGATGCTAGTTTTAAGTTAGTTCTGAAAACAAATAGTATAATAGTACAGAAATAATTAAAACTTGCTCACTGATATCAAAGAATTGAAGATAGTAGTTGGGAGTGAAAGATATACTTGGATAGAAGAAATTAAATGATTTGAATTGAATTCTTAAGAAAGTCAATAAATCTGGTCATTCTATAAGCTTTTCATAGCTAAAAATGCATTAATCTAATAATAAAGTATAAAGAATTTAAAGAAAACTCAGGTTTTTAATTATATTAATTTCTATAAAATATGTTATTTAAAATTTAGATACAAATTTAACAAATTTGTATCTAATCTTTAATTAGAGAGATACAAATTTAACCATCAAGTTTTATATATACATACACACATATGTATAACCATATTATTATCATCACATATAAGAGTATACAAATGTTGGTAGTTATTCAAGCTATTTTTTATCTTAATATCTTTGATCAGAATTTATCAACCATCAAATTTACTAATGAAATCGATTTTCTTAATAAAACTTAAATTCAAGAGATTTTCAATTCTGAAAAGTATTTATTATTTTTTTTTCGATTGAGCAGAAGTTTTAAGTATGAGACATTTTGGGTTAAAAACTTAACTCAACATTCATGTATGTCAAAATCGTTCAATTGTATTCATTTTTAAAAAAATAATAATTTTTTTTAATAAAAATATATAAAATATTTATTTGTCACGTTTATATTATCAAAATCAAGTTCTTGTTCAAGTTTTATNAAAAATTTCACAAATTCAGCCTATTGAACAAATGAAAATTATTAAGGTTGCTGCACCATAAGAATATTCAATAGTTGTTCAGCATATTTTTACTTTATAACCAGTGTTGTATAGCCCACCCTGTTCTGAGTTTATGACTATCAATATTCAACTCCATAGCCTTGTAAGTTTGATCCCAATTCAGAAGACATGGGAACTCCTAGATCAAGAACCGGGAGAACCTAGATTTCGTGAAGGACTTTTGGCTGGAACTAACTTGCATTTGTTTTACATGGAGCGAAAAACCACAAAAACCCAGAAATGTGTTAAAATAAGTTTCCAAATATTGCCCAACTCACAAATTATTGTTATTTATTATTGCTCTACGAATTGTGCAAAGATGCAGAAGATATGAAGAACCACATTACAATTATCCACATAATTGCTGAATATCAGCATAATTATTATTTTATATCAAAATATTTTCAATCAACGAATATACTTGTCTTAGCAGTTTTTTTTTTTCTGATGCAACTTAGAATTTTTTTAAAAAACTGTATTAACCTTTATGAATTTTTGATCCAGAATAAATGGCTACTTAAAAACTAGTAATGAACATGTATTCAAAAAGATGGACACTGACTCATTTTTGGAATACTTAGTTAATCTGCAATTTATATAACTCAAGTATGTTGCATACAAAGAATATGTTAAAGAATGTTCAAGCATCTACTTAATCAGATTCTGAAATTCAGACATAATCTCAAAGAAGAGATATCCAGGAAATCTTTGTTGAAATAATTGATAAATTGTAATGAAAATAAGGAAAAAAATTATTTATTTTTTTAAAATTGAGTTCTTTATTTTTGTTTTCAGTTTTTAAAGCTGTATGCATAGTTTTAAAGATAACTGTACCTTTGATGTGCAACTTGAAAAATAATTCTGCATTTATAGGGCCTTAGTCACTGAATAATTTGTAGAACAAAAATTATGTCTTCAGTTGCTTTATTTGTCCAAAGAGAATCTACAAAAACAAGAAAAGTTTGGTCATATATACACTTTTGTTTGCTCAAAAAAGTTTTTCAAAGTAATTGCAAATTTTTTTTAATTTTGTTTTTACAAAAATATGAATGGGGAGCATTTTAATGCTTCATTAGTGGACAGTACCTTCATATTATAAATACTATTACTGATTTTCATCTTTATTTATAATTCTTCAATGAAATTTTTCATTACATGCTACACACTAGAGAGGTGTGCTTAGTATGTATTTCATGTTTGTCAAAACATTTTAACAAATATTTAAATTATTGAGTTAAAAAATGTCCACAAGTGTCACATAAATAAAAATCACTATTTTAAGCACAGTAGCAATATTATTTCTTTTGGTTTAAATATAAAAATAAAACTTTTATACATGCTAAAGATCTAATCCATGCAAAGTATAGTTGAATTTGTTATGCAACTATAGAAAAATGTAGACATAACTATTTTAGAAAAAAAATTGAGAAAATGTTAAATTTATTCAATTAATTTCAATAGAAGTTAAATCACAACTTTTTACAAGCATACTTAACATTTTCATGCTAAAAGTATAATTTACTTGTTCTTTATAGCAGGCTTGTTTAAGTTTAGTTAAAAATTAAATTACTCATTTTATTTTTATTTTATTAAGTTCTGACAGTTACATTAACACTATTAAAAATCTTTAGGTAATAATTTAAAATCAAACTTATAAGATAATACACAAATGAATAGCATATTAAATAACCTACATCAATAGCTATTTTAAAACTGTATTACAAAATCAAAATTTTAATCAGATTGTTACAAGTGATATTTCAAAAATCCTTAAATTTAATAATTAATATCTGATGCATAGTTAAAATGTCCCCTTCAGACAGTAAAAAGAGATTCAACCTCCTCCATATCAACCCACAAGATGGGAACCTATATGGCTAGAATATCTATATTCATTAGTAAAAAAGTAGTCTTTTTGAATTTTTTTGTTTCATTTCACACATTAATTAAAATGTGATTCAATAAATTAAGCAAATAAGTTTTAAATGCTCTTTTTTTTTATTTGTAAGCATTTTTAAAGCTTGAACTTTCAAAAAGTTTTAAAATACTTACAATTTTAAAATTTGGTTCAATCGAAAATATTTCAAAGAATAAAAAAAAAATTTAAAAAAATATTCAAAAACATTAATTTACTCAATAAATAAGGAAATTAAATAATTGAATCACCTTTCCATTTGATGGGGACTTCTATAGATTATTTTCATTTTTTTTACAGACAAATGAATTTCTTTAACTGCCATTTTCATAAAAAGTTAAAATTCTTAATTTCAGAGCAAATTTATATTTATGTTCCAAGAATTAATAATATCTATTTATTAAAAAAGAAATCTAACTTGAAAAGAAAAGATCATTATTTTTTCATCACAATTCGAATTTAACATATTGAGCAGATTACAACCATATTATGCACACAAAACTATTGATAACGAACAAAATAATAAAATTTTCAACAGAATATTTACTAATATTCTGTGAAGTTCACTTACAATAATAAATACCAAAATGACTTAACATGCAGCTAAATATTTTCAGCACAAGAATAACGAAACTTTTTTTACATACAAAATTTGACATTTCATTAAAAAAATGGATGTAAGAAATTTACATTGTTAGTGTACATAAAAAAAGGATTAGTTTAAAAAAAAACTACATGGGCATTGTGTTAGAAGGGAAAGAAAGGAAAACCTTACGTGATATAGTTGAGTGTTAGTTGAGATATAAATAAGAAGAGGATCAAGGAAAGAAGCCAACCATGATACACAGTATTCATATAAACCTATAAAAAGTAAACAACCCATGCAAATAGAATGGAAAATTAACATAAATTATACGATACAATAACTACGACAAACTATTACTTGAAATATGTCCATGAAAAACTTTTAAAATTTAAAAGTATTTTTTTTTTCATTGACCCAATTCTGAGTTTATGACAGTTAATGTTCAACTCTACAGCCTTGTAATTCTGAAGACAGAGTTCCCAGAAGACAAGGAAACTCTTGGATCAAGCATTTGGGCAAATTAGCCTTCTGGCAGAACTTTTTGAGGGAAATAGCTCGCATTTGCATTACATGGTGAAGAAAACCACAAAAACCTCCCATGGTTAGCCCAATGGCAAGGGGATTCTATCCCATAATCTGCCTACCACTGAGGATATTTTATATCAGCACTGTGGTCAGTGAGAGAAGAGAGCAAAATTCGTATCAACCAGCCACTGCCAGGATTTGAACCAGGGTCTCCTCATTGTGAGAGGAACACTATCCCGAAGGCTATAATAAAGGTATTGTATAGTATCAATAATTGAAATAGAGTTCCAGTCCCTTTCCCTATAGTAACAACAATAAACAGGACATTTTACCATCAAACATAGCCTTATAATATTGAGACAATTTAAAATGATTAATAGTACTAATGATTTTTCTATCATTCAGAATGATTTATACCTCTGACTTTTCTGACATTTAGAATGATTTATTAATCTACTTATCCTTTATCTTGACACTTAATATACATTATTTACAAGTTTTTTATGAAAAGAATAATAGAAATGAGTAGCTCAGATGTTCTACTCTGACAGCTAAAGACAACAATTTTTCTTTATAAAGCATGAGGAAGTGAGATGACCAGCCACAATTTTAAGTTTGTTGACTGTTAAAAATATTAATATACTGGATATTGAAACAAAAATGTGCAGTTTTTGTATCTGTGCAATTCAAATGAAAATGGTGTTATAGTAGTTAGCCTGTTGGGCTAACAAATATGTTTATATGGCTAATAAATATGCCTTTTATTTTTCAGGGTAACTAGTCAGAAACTAATCAAGTTTGTTGATAAAGAATAACTGAACATTGGGTTAGACACTCAGTCTTACCTTTCACTAGTAATTGGCTCAACAAGCCAAAAAAGTATACAGAAATGGTGATGGGCACACGATAATGAACATCATTTGTTCTCACTTTAATGTATACAAGGATACATAAATGACAAATAAGATTCAATAAATAAGACTTAATAAGATATAATGAATAACATATTTTTCTTTTATGATAAAGCATCAATAAAGCATTTTTTACTGTATCATTCAGTTATTTCATAAAATCCACATTTTTTTTAAAAGAAATTGATCTGCATTATTTTATTGTAAAAAATAAACATACTTTAAATTTCATGTAAAAAAAGAAGTATTTGAATATTTTTATTTGAAAGCCTATTTAATTCCTTTTATAAAAATCATGATTTGTATATTGCAGTATTTAAAACAATACAAGTTTCTTTCCTAGATAATTGGTAATGTTCATCAATTATAAAAATCAACAACATCCATACTTTAGTTTGTATCTAAGTAATGCTTTTAACTTAATGTAGTTTATGAAGTATTCGTCATTTGGTTCCCCTGAATGAACAATTCATAAAGGCACATGAATAAAAGCTTCAAAGAGAGAATGTAAGCCATCATCTGAGATAATTTAAAACTATCTCCCACCTCCCAAAACATTTAGGAATTTTCCCTCTTAAGGGGTTAGGATTCTGAAAAATAATATAACTTTCAGGAGTTGCAATATCAATTGATTATTCCTCAGTCAATAAAAAATCAACTTGTCTTAAAATTTTAAAAACAAAATATAACAAATTATAGATGCTTACATTGTATGTGTAATTTTTTAAATTAACAAAAATTAGTATTTTTTGCACACATAGTCTTTTCTAACTAAATTAAACTAAAGATTAAAATTAAATTATATAAAATTAAATTTTATTAAAATTAGATTATAATAAGTTGCATATGTTATGAAAAAAAGTTCTTTTTTAAGTTACACACAATAAAATAAAAAATTATCGAAACTAGTATGATGAACAATTATAAATTGTTCATACACCTGTTATGCAGTTTTTTAATAAATTTTAGAAGGTCAGGGGCTGAATATTGACTATTTGGTAGCTGCAAGCTGTGCATTCATATCTGAAATCAGTCCTTTGCTTAGTTATGAGGAAAATATCCCAATAGTTTTAAGTTTGTAAACTCTACATAATAGTTACAAAGAAATGTCTCAATGTTGTGCTTTTTATGTTTACTAGTTTTGCGGATAGTATGTTAATTATTATAAAAGAAGCCCATTTTGTTGAAAATTAAAAAAAAATTCTTATTGTTTCAGTAACATTCAAGTCATTACTTTAAAGGGTCATTAATAATAATCGAAATGCATTTGACAATGTAACATGTGAAAACAGCTATACAAAACTTAGCTTAAATAATTCAGTAAGCAATGGTAAACTTACAAAAAATGCTAACAATGTTGCTCCTGGTGAATTCCACCGTAGCAATGATACGAAGCTATCAGCAAGAGAAGAGACAGGTTTTGTAGCATTGGCTGAAAAAGAATTTCTATGTAACACAACAACATAAACGGAAAATTTATTCTAAACCATATGCAAATTATAGTAAGAAATCATATTAAACTAGTTTAATGGTATCAGTTTTCAAATGTATTGCAAATTAAATTATTTTAATTGCATAACTAACCAAAAATTTGTGATTTGAATATTAACTTTCTGAAAATTAGTCTCAGCTTATTGCAAAATTTTAACAGCAGGCTCTCTTGTATAAAAAAAACCTGTTTTCCCCATCTTATTTAAGAACAAAGAAAATTAAGTATAATTTTTACCCAGAGACTCTATGCTTGGATATTTAACATGACACTAGATAAAAATTTAGGTTACCACGAGAGTAGAATTATTTAGAAAGTGACAAAATAAGCCAAACCTTTTGACTTTTCAGTTGCAGCAATTAGCAAATTTTATTTTTAAAAAAATTCCAAATATAAAATAATAATCATGAGAATCTAGTTATATCACATCAAACAAGTTGATGTATCTGAGCATATTGCTCGAGATATATTTTAGATGAAACAGGGTATATGTCGGGGAATGCAATCCTGGAACCACAGGATCACAAATGTCTGCAGAATTATCACTTCAACCCCACAGGAAAACTAATTTTCATCCTTTAAAATACTTGATATATTTTATTGATGCTTGAATCAAACAATTTTCAACGTTGATGCAAAATTGGTAAGGGCAAATTGGCATTGAACAGCCGCCCCAATTTTAAGTTTATTACTTCCAATGTTCAACTCCGTAACCTTGCTATTTTGAACCCATTCCAGAAGGCAAGGAAAATCCTGAATCAAGTTTTGGGAGAAATTTACTTTCAAGGAGGACTTTTTGATAGAACTAACCCGCACTTGAGAAAGGAAAAACACGAAACCCTGCTTGGTTAGCCTGGCAGCAAGGGAACTCTAACACATGATCCATCTACCATTGAGGATATTTTATGTCAACACTGTGGTCAGTGCAAGCCAAGTGAAGAATTCGTATCGACAAGTCATCGCTGGGATTCAAACCCAGGTCACCTTATTGAGAGGTCAATATATAACCGTCGTTGAACAGCCGACAAAATTTTGGGTTTACGAGTACTAATATTCCACTCTGTAGCCGTGTAATTTTGAACCAAACCAGAAGACAAGGAAACTCCTGGATCAGTACCCCCAGAGGTATGATTTGCTATGGAAACATGGATGACTTTGTGACTAGACAGATTTAATGTGCACCAGTCACCATTTAGTACATGGGGAGTCTTCTGCTCGAACTCACGCCCTCTTGGACATGGGCCCACTGCCCTGCCAACCAGGCTTTAGAGTGGCAAGATACAAAAAATGTGTTTTAGCACTATTTTGCCTCAAGCCTTTCAATTATTTATTCATTAATAAATTATACTTACTAAATCACACTAAGTTGTCCTTAAGCCTAAAAAATATAAAAAAAATTTTAAAAAAAGACTTAATAATACTAATAAAACTAAGTTTATTAATAGAACATTGTAAAAGTTTTAAGAAGAAGAAGAATTAAGTTAAAATATGCATGAAAATAAAATCTTTTAATATAGAAAAAAATTGAAATCGAAGACTTGTAATTCATAAAAGTTAATACCAAATGTGTCCTTTCATGAAAATTGACAAAGTTTATATTGAATAATAGTTTTACTAAACACATAATTTTTTACCAACCAGTTTCAGCACATCATAACTAATAGATATTATGAAATGATTGTGATTTAGTCTTTTTAGATATTATAGGGAACAGGTATTAGATACTTTAGAGCTAATTTAAAGTTTCCCGGTAGTTACACCCTTTAAGAGACAATTATAAAAGCACAACAGAGAGAAACCATACAATCCTACAGATATTATTGGTCTTGCTGACAAATTAATTTTCTGTTTGAGGATTGCCTGTGATTGAGAATGTGCTTCTCAATCCCTTACAGCAAAATGAAACACATCAAAGAGGATGCAAGGAAGAAACAAGAACATTGCACTTTTCCTTCTTAAATATACTTTAAATTTTTAAGAGATGAACTTGCTTTGGAAATTAATAATTAGTCCTTTAATAAATTTTATATTCACTGATTTTAGGTAATAAGTAATTATGTGCCTTTTTTAATAAAACTAATTCATAGTTATTATTTAAGACATGCTAAAAATGGAAGATATCGCAATTAAAAAATAATTGCAATTGCATCTGAGAAGAAAAAAGAAATTCCCTACAAATAACTGAAAATCTTACTTTGTCGTGTTGTACTCAATTGCATCTGAGCAAAAAATAGAAATTCCCTACAAATGACTGAAAATTTTATCTTGCAATGTAGCAATTTTTTATTAAAAAAAGATTTTGCACTTTTACATAACTAGTTAGCATTGTGTTTAAGTAGAAGGTATATACTTAGGAAATTTTAATATAAGGAAATTTTAATAGAATTGTAAACTGCAGAAGAAATAAAATAAATGATGAAGTAAATTTTTTTCCCTTTAAGTATTAACCTTGGCTGATGAATACAAAACTTTGTGCACCAAGAAAATGTTCCCCAGGTTCCCCTGAGAAAAATACTAATGAATCCTAAGAGAAAAAAAGGAACACCCTAACCGTATCAATATCAAAATTATTATCTCAATGGTGCATTTTAAAAATTATAAGTTTCTTATGCTTAAAATATTTTTCTCTAAGCCGATAAAATTTCTTGAATAACTAAAATGAATATACAACTGTTATAATAAGAAGGCAATAAAGAAATAGCGCTCACTTGCGAACTGTCAAAGGATCCCCTTCAGAATCATCTTCTGCGCTATCATCATCATCAACAACAACAACAACAGGCTCAGAAAAGTCTTCAACTAATTCAGAAAATTGAGAAGTCATCCAGTCACAAAAACGACCGTATATACCTCGCTGTTTTTCAACCGAAGGAAAAGGAACAGGTTCAGCTTGCACTGGCGTGAGCTCAGTGGCACCTAATAATAGTTTAAAAATCAAATACAGTTTAAGTAAAATAACTTTTCAGAGGAAACTATAAAAAGCGTAAGATACTTAAAACAAAATGATAGATTTGTAATTAAATGATAGCCTTGAGCAATTCGAAAATTCACATATAAAAATTTGTAAAGATAAAATATGTTTCTATTAATTTAACAACACAATGGTGAATGTCAATGTATTATAAATGTTTTTAAACAGAAAATAAGTTTTAAACAAAAAAAAATGGATGAGGCTAAAATATTTCAAACGAAGTGTAATTTAAACTATGAGCTCAGAAAAAAATTTCGTCCAGCTTAATTTTTTTTCTTTTTTTGATATCCTTTAAAAATGTTCAGGTTTTTATAAAATTATATCAAATAAATTGTACTGAATTTAAAAATTCAATAAAACATGATATTATCTAATCATCTGATAGTATTTAAGCAGTTGATAGCTTAAGAATTGCTGGATTCAATAGAACATTTTAATTTTAAAAATTTAACAAATATCAAATGAAATTATGTACAGGGTATCTGCTACGTTTTAGATTTTCAAATCCATGGCTTTTCATGACTTTACCATGTCTAATTCCAAGAACTTTTCACGACTTAACAAAGTTATACAAAAACAACACAAACCAAATTTTAAAAAAACATTATAACAACATTAATTGAAATGAAAGGTATAACCAAAACTGTTATACTATGCATCTTCATATTTATAGATTTTAAATTTAAAAAACAGAGTAAAGAAAGAGTTAAAGCAATAAAATAGCTGAAAAAATACAAAAGCAAATACATTTTTTTC